CCACTACCAAAACCTGCCACCCAAACCCAGTACATTTTCAATAAATCTTGGTAAGTCAGTAATACATGTGATGATGCACAGTTTAGTGTGTAACATCATATTTATTCTGTAGCTTCTTTAAGTATATATTATAGGAAAAAATACATAATGTAATGTAAACATCCAATTATAGCTGTACAAGTACAGAAGTTGTTACTTTCTATGTGAAACCAATCTTAAAATGAGAGAATTAAGGCACTGAGAGAGTCCATTATGTTACCTTGTTAAAAAAACATACGCTTCAAAAAGCAGCCCGGCTTGTTGTCATTTAAAAGGTTTCATATTCCTGTTTGAAAGATCAATTAAGAAAGTTAGTATTTGTGTGACTACAGATAGCACTTTTGACAATAACTTTTAGTCAAAAGCATAGTGTGAAACAAAATCTTCTGTGTTACTAAGGTGTAAGAAAAGCTAAATATTTAGCTCCAAACATCCTGCAAATATCGTTTTGCTTCTCGAAGCGTGGCCAGGATTTTCATTGCTTCCAATTTGTCAACTTCCATTTCCATGCTTAAAATGTCCACTACGGCATCACTTACACCATCAGCCATGTGCTTCTTATCTCTGCAGGAAAAAAAAAAAAATAGAGGAGGAAAATGGGTAACAGTGTATTTTTCCTTTGATCAAGAGCTTCAGAGGCAGGATACTATTGGAAAGGAGGCATTTAAAAAAATCCTAAACATAAATACAGCTTGTATATTGAATGGCAAGATTCTCACTGAGTTTTCATGTAGCTGAGCACTGAGAGTAACAAGGGTTTCTCTCAGTCAAACATTACAAAGTTTTCAGCATGTTGTAATTTATAAGAAAAACCCTTGGAACCCTAGTTGAGCTGTCACAGAATGCTTGCTTTCTTTTACGGAGAATTGGATCTGCTGAAGTATTTTTTATTATTATATCATCATATAGTTCTCATATAAAAGAACCCAACACAACAACCTTCCCTTCTTAATAATGCTATTTTTAATACAAATAGCTAACATTATTTGTGCAGTAGAAAGTATTGACATCAGGCTCTATATTCAAACAGTTTGTCTATTTATCCACAAACTTCCTAAAAATCTCAAATCTCCACCTAAGTTCGCATCCACAAATAAAACTCCCCACTTTAAAATACATTACTACTACGTTACTTTAGCATTCTACCCATCCAAGCCTGGCACACAGAAGAGGACTGCTACTATCTCACAGCTGTGCAGTTTATCATCACACGTATTCAAGTGTCTCATTTTTCTCAAGATAAATCCATTATCTTGAAACCTCCTATAGCTTAATTGAATACTGAAAAAGAAATAGTAAGTGACTAAAGCAACTAGTAGAACTCTGTGGTTACAAGCTAAACCTAAGACTATACTGGAAAAAATGGACATAGTGATAAAATTCAAGCATTCTAGGAAGGCCTTTCAGCATCATGTTTTTTTCAGACAGCTCTGAGTCTTTCTAAAGCCTCGAACTTCTGCTAAGTCTGTTCTCTTTCTGAGATAGTCTATCTCCACTCTACTCACCCACATACATAGAAGTAACCTCTCTCTCTCAGCAGGACTCTGGCAACTTCCTTAGCATAAAGCCTAAGGACATCTTGCACATATTTCGGCGGGGCTACTTCTTTGGCATTTGAAAAATCTCTTGAGAAACAAACCTTAAGATGAGTTAATGTGCCATTTTCAAGAAAACATCTGAGCTCATCTCTGAAAGGCAATAAAAACTGTTAGTAACGTCTCAGAGATAAGCATTCTCTCATCAATACAAAATTAATGTTAAATAGCAAACTTGCTTGAACAAATAGTCTCGATCTTGATGCCGACAACCAAAAAACAGCCAGGTCTCTCCAAATTCCCAGTCTGTATGTTCCTCTCTGAGCTTTTGCCTAAACAGACCAAAAAAAAAGAAGAATGTACTGAGCATATGTAAATCCAATCTGTTTTAGGAAGTGCAGAATCGAAAACTCCTATAACCTAATTCTCACTTAAAGCAGTGCTTTAATAGCCCTCTGTATTGGCAGAAGTGTGAAACGGCATAAGGTAAATCACAGTCAAATCCTCCTTCACTGATTTTCTTGAATACTCACTTTTGGACCAGCTCAAAATCAATCAACTTCAAATGTGGAGTTTTTTTTGCCACAGTTTCACATTGGAAGAGTCAAGAATGACACTTCCAAACATCTCACAAAACAATCCTGACTGCTCAATAAGGAGATCACTACCCTTTATCCTTCATTGGAAGCCCTGTAAAAACACCTGGGAAAATTCAGCACAAAGCATTTTAGCACACTTTGCATTTAGCTGTAGAAGCCTGCAAGACTTTATGACTATCAATCTATTTACTACTACATCATCAGAAGTTATTGCATTTTCTTGAAATAATGCTGAAGGTATTACTTTATAGGGGTTTTAGCTGCAACTTTTTAGTTGCATTTCGAGATTTTATTCATCACTGATCAAATGCTTATGAAATGCTATGAATTCTTTAAAATGCAATATAGTTCTGAAAGATAATGATATATTTGGGGGTTAAAATTAAGGAGTAAGGATTGTACGTTATGATCTGGTTAAAGTGGAAGCATGAACTCAGACACATCATGTCAAAATTTCACTTTTCTCTCAAAGAAAATGGTTTAAAAATAATTGTTACAGGATGCAAGAAACTCCACTATCTTGCTGCAGGAAATGAGTCATGTAGGAATGATATGAGATGTGTTGGTTACCTACAAAACTTGCAAGCATTCCCACCCAAATATTCCACTCTTCCCATTCTTCATTTCCTCTGAAAAGTCATGTTTTTACACACCCTTGGTGATGAGGTACTTTTTGAACAAGCGTCTCTTTGCCTTGCAAAATTATGCTGCTGGAATTGGAGGGGGAAAAAAGGGATCTATCTTCCCTCAAATACAACCCCACAAAACCCAAGATTGTTGGGTTCAGTATGCCTAGCTGTTGACAGTTGAGCTGCCAAGCTCCTGATCTTAAAACATCAAAATGTGTAAACACACATAAATAGGGGAATGTGGGGGAAAACTTGACATTCAGCATGCCAAGGCTTTTAATATAGATGTCACTTCTGAAAGAAAGGGATTTTGAATATCAAAGTTAAGCCAATCAACTCTGTTTCTAAAAGCAACCAACCAGTTCACAGGGCTTCCACTATCAACACACAGATAAAAGATTTAATTTCTTATTACTATTTCTGCAATTTACCCAATTCCTTATATATCCACTACGGATATTGGATACAGTCAGATGAAAATGTAAGTTTTACTCATTTGAAAAACAGATAAATAAAAAAGCACTGCTTGTTTAAAAGTAGTAAGACTTTCAAATGAGCATACCAGTGTTACAAAAAGTAAAAGAAAAAAAAAAAAAGAAAAAAAGTTATCTATACTTGTACTCAAAACCTAAGGCTGTATTTTCCTCAACAGAAAGGCTGCTTTCCAGGTAACAATTCGGTACATACCTATGTTGTAGGAAACCAATAAATGGTGAAATCCCTGTTCCTGGACCAACCATCATGAACGGGACAGATGGGTCTGCAGGTAAGTGGAAAGTATTGTTTGGACGAGCAAAAATAGGTATCTAAAACGAAATTAGATAGAATACAATTGAAGGATATTCTTAAGCAGTGAAAAAGCCATGAGCATTTTAGAAACTTCAGGATATTTATGTAGCGTATATGTCCACACACCCTTCCAAATCCTGAGCTTCAGAGTTTATTTTTAATGCCATACAGACATCTGGAACAAAATTTCACATGAGCGTCTGAAAAAACCCCACAGCATACTTACAGACTTATTAATCAATCTGGAGAAAAAGTAGGCAAAACCACACAAATATGAGCTTCTGAGTATGAAATTTGAGGAATTTCAATAGATAAATTTGAGGAATACTGTTAACAAAACTCATGGAAATGGTGTTGGTACTCAAAGGGAAGTAAAACTTATTGCTATTATAGGCAACTCAACCTTTTTTTATGCTGTGGACATCTAAAAATATTCCAGTGGAGGTGAGGATTTGTTTATAGCAAATTGAAGCTTACTGATACTGAACTTGCATTCTTAATTTTCATAAAAGTTTTACATGGTCCCCAAAAATGCATATGGCTGAGGGAAGGCACATAACTGCTCAAAGACCTTGGAAAATGGTTTATATCATTCCACTGATAAACTATTCTGATCTTCAAATCTGTATCTAAAAGGAATTCTAGATATGATTTTCATAGGAGCTCCGTAACTATTCTCTGAGGCATGGCTAACATAATGTACAGAAAACAAGAGATGACTATTTTTAATCCTTTAAAAGATTATTCAAGACTCAGCAGCAGCCATAGCAGAGCTTCATCCATTAAAGTCATAAGCAAACATCCAATTTATTTTGCATAATAATTATGAAAGGATTTGAATTTACTTTCAAGGTTAAAGAAGGAGTGAAGCACTAGACCAAGTTACTTAAACTTTGCACTCTAAACCTGAGTGGTTTAGCACTACTCATTTCTTATCATTTAATTCATCATAGATACTAGAATGTTAAACCGGATTATTTTTCAGGTTTGATGATGATGACAAAAATATAGTATAATTCTTGCTGCAGGGGGCAATATTTGTATTTCTGTTATACTTACTACTTCAAACCGCACTTGACTTAGGAGGTTATTTTCCCTATTAATGATTCCAAACTGGTCATTCCTTTGAAAAATACTGCAAATGGTAAACATACTTATACTGTAAAGTGTTTTCAATTAATCTAAGGTATTTTTGCATAAGATCACACTAATTTATTTTGCATTGGTATTCCACAGATTTCTGCAATATATGTGTATTGCCGCACATTTATCTATGCTGAATTCTAGCTTGTGCAGCAGATGCAAATAGTTCTGAACTTTTTTCAGACTCATTTTGTTATAATCCTTTTTTTTCTTTCTTTTTATACCACCTCTTTTTCATGTTTGGTCTTTAATATATTGCAAATCAATTATATTTTAAATAAAGAGCATATGTGAATACTGGAATAAGATATACGATGCACATATTAATCAGTTTGGGTTTTCAGTTAGTTTTAAAAAACTAAGATAACTTGTATGGGTTTTTCCTTCCATTTTGCCAGACCAACATCTTGAATTATTGGCACAGTTTTCTTGTAATTAAATTCTACACTTGTGTCCATTTTCTTAATCAAAGATAGATTAGCCTGGCAGTAGTTCTTTTGTCATACTAATTATATATTAGAATTCCAAATTTTTTAGTAATTAGCTTACACCTAGTAACTTTGTGACCGATTAATTACACAGATTCTCTGCCCTGAAAGGAAAAGAGACCAAAAAAAGTACCTTTTCCTATTAATACCCACTATGCCAAACCATCTTCCCGAGAAGGACTTGGAGATACAGGTGGCTGAAAACCTGGACATGAGCCAGCAATGTGCGCTCACAGCCCAGAAAGCCAACTGTATCCTGGGCTGCATCCAAAGCAGAGTGGGCAGCAGGTCGAGGGAGGGGATTCTGCCCCTCTACTCTGCACGGGAAAGACATGGACCTGTTGGAGCGGGTCCAGAGGAGGCCACAAAAATGACCAGAGGGATGGAACACCTCTCCTATGAAGAAAGGCTGAGAGAGTTGGGGTTGTTCAGCCTGGAGAAGAGAAGGCTCTGGGGAGACCTTGTTGCAGCCTTCCAGTACTTAAAGGGGGCTTCTAAAAACATGGGGACAGACTTTTTAGCAGGGCCTGTTGCAACAGGAGAAAGGGTAACAGTTTTAAACTAAAAGAGGGCAGATTTAGACTAGATAGAAGGAAGAAATTCTTCCCAGTGAGGGTGGTGAAACAGTGGCACAGGTTGCCCAGCGAGGTGGTAGACGCCCCAACCCTGGAAACATTCCAGGTCAGGTTGGACGGGGCTCTGAGCAACCTGGTCTAGTTGCAGATGTCCCTGCTCACTGCAGGGGGGTTGGACTAGATGGCCTGTAAAGGTCCCTTCCAACCCAAACTGTTCTATGATCTTTGTTGCACATCAGAAATACCACAGAAGATTGTTCTCTGTGTCGCATTCAATAATTTGGCCTTCGCAAACTGTGTGAGACCTTGACAAGATATTTATGATTTCTCCCCTATTATCTGCCACCCTTTCCCTGGAAGTGACCAAGTGCCTCTTGGCCTTGTAGCCTACAATGCTAACAGCCGTAATCATTTAATTGCACAGCGATATTTTAGCCCATGAAAACATCTTCCGAGACTTGCTTAAGGATACAGTGGGGTGGAAAATGACTCTGGCCTTTCATCAATGGGAAGTTTCACTACTCATGTTTTACTTTATCTATGGATACCTGTGTTTAGCAACTTAGCAATGAAATTCCAAACATGTTACAGAGGGAAGGGTAAACTTACAAGAAGGGTAGAACTGCAAAATGAAGCAGCATACTGCCAAAACACCTGCATTACATCAGGGGCAGTGAACAAGGAAACCTGCAATTGTTTCAAACGTATAAATTAAACGGTTAAGGGAGTTTAGATCTAACATTCGTACCTTTTCAGTTGAAGGGTTTCCTCCTTTTGTATGCAGAGTGTTTGTACCGGGGCGCAGCAGAGGCGCAACTAACTCAGCAAGCCAGCCTGTACATACTCCTTTCCGTGAGACTGGTCTAGCGGGACAGGCAGGAAACTCCACAATATTGAACACAAAACATAATTTTCCTGGCTGATATAAGTTTGAACTGTAAAGATAAAAGCATTAAAAAAACCCCACAAAACCTGAGAGAGAAATGTACAATCTTATAGCAGGTCCGTTTGCAGCCCAAACCACCTCACTTGAATCAAGATTCTCAGTGTTCAGTTAAATGTGTGATACTCATATATAGTTAGAAAACATCTTAAGGTTGGAGTCGGAGGCCAGTGCCTACAGAAGGAAATCCAAATTCCTCTATATCAGATTCACACATGTGTGAGCTTGTTCTTGAGAATTGTGTCAAAGTCTCGCCAGACACTCAAAACAATGTTGTTTGAAATAGTCAAACCCTGGTTTTTTTTTGCAACAGGGAGACAACCACTTTTTCCTCAGGTTTTATTCTTCTTTAGTTCATAACATACGCACACACACACACTTGAGAAAAAAGTATACCTAAATTGCCAAGAAGATATAATTTGAATATTTCATTACCTTGACACTGAATAGGATCTGGCTTGTAATTTAGGAAGATGCTCTGAAAAATTTAAATAAATAAATAAATAAATAAAAGCATCACTTATTGTTTGGTTTACCCTAATAAAAATGAAAATATCATAGTGAGTGTTTACACTACAACGGATTACAAGCATATTACAATTTAGCTGTAATTTTACTCTTTGAACATTCAGTATTTTTGTCTCAGAAATAAGCTATTAAGACAGAACTCTATTTTGAATGTTTTTTAGACTTTGTCGAACATCTGTTAGAGATACCATAAAATGAGGCCACAGTAGTGAATTTATGGGGTTCTTGGTCAATTAAGAACAGCTGTAAGGTGCACAGAAGAGATGCCAGTAGCTAGTGGACAAGGTGAAGCTTCAAATTTAATTTTCCCTACCTTTCATCTTAGACTGCTTTACGGAGCTCAGAAGCTCTGAGAATAGACATTGTTTGATTGAATATTTCCTATATATAACGTCCTAGAACCAGATGTGCCAGTTCAATATCAAACCACTATGAATACCTATGCAAATTTTGAAATCACAGCTTATAAAGCCCAACAACAACAACAACAGAGACAGGAGTTTACTGGGCATTTTTTCAATGAGAAACCCACTATCCCTCCCACACACACATTTGTATCTACATATGTATGTACATATATATACATAGATATGGTGTCTTCAAAGGAATGACTTGCCCTAGTATGCAGACTGCACATTTTGGCTGAGGAGAAGGGCATATTAAAAGGAGACAGACATATTCCTAAGTGAACAGTGTGGTGGGGAATGGTGACAACAAGCGAGCAATACCAGAAAAACTGGGCATAGCAAATGGCAGAGAACATACAGTGGAGTAACAGAGCCTAATCCTGCAAATACCTTATGCTTATTGTTTATGCATAAGAGCAATCCAGAGTCAACTGAAGCCCAGGTATGTACCTAAGTGTTTGCAGAATGGAGGCCAAAGACCACACCCTGGAGAACAGAGCTCTGTTCCCCAACAATACTTTTAGTTTCATCACTATGAATACTATAACATTTCTAAAGCAGTTAACGGAACAGTTATTCCCCTTTCTTGGGAAACTGAACATTTAGTCTGATGCATTTTCAGAAACAAAACCTAATTAAGTCCAAATCAGTCACTTACCAATTAACAGGTTAAGTGAAGGCTTGCAGCTTGGAAAAGCATGAAGTAAATCCAGCAAGCAAACATTAGACTCTCTAATAAACCGTGTATAATCAGAGGCTCCTTGTCTGCTGCAAAGCTCTTGAAGCCTCCGTTTTTCTCCTGCATCACTGGTACATTCTACAAGAGCTCGCAAAAATGCCTGCAGAGAAGAAAATAAGCGTGCAGGATAAAAAAAACCTGTCCGTTTGGGAAAATCATCACAAAACTGGGAAAAACTTAGGTTGCCTGGGGACAGGAAGCAGTCACCTGACAGGTTAATGGATAATACAATTTATTTCCCGATGCACGCTTTCACCTACTATGACTTTTTTTTTATTTTTGGGGTGCTCCTTTAATGTCTGGTACAAGCTACCAGGTCAGAAAATTCTACTTAGCCTGAGTAGGGGAGAGACAAACAGGTACAACCGATTCCCTGATAAATCTCAAATTTATGAAAGGCTTTCTTATTTATGTATTTGCACTTGAGTTAAGTAAACAGTCCCATAACACAAATGAATTCAAGACAAAACAACATTTGCTAAGTTACAGAAGCCAGGAAAGGCATAATAAAAAGTCTTAGAAGAGGTATTACTGTAAATAAAGTATAGTATTTAATGAGTCATGTAAATGTCGCTGCGGTGTTTTATTCCATACTTTATGCCTGCATAATGGTACTGCAAGGTTTTCTTAAGGGAAAATTAAATTGAGCATTGTAAGATAAAGTAAAAATCAGATGTAAATAGTTATAAGTTTTTTTCCAAAAGCAAGGTGGAAATAGACACAGTGCATAAAAAAATGATCCAAAACACCAAGTGCAATCAGATGACATATTCTACACAAAAGAATACTTTCCAAGTAATTTGAGTGTGGTCAAACACTGAGCTTCCAGGCAATAGGTTTACATAAACCATATTCTGTGCTGAACAGGTAATAAAGCAGATAGGTTATAAAAACTGGCTCGGGCAATATTCCCCAGCCAGTATTCTCTGCCTACTCTTATTGTTGAGACAATTTTTCAAAATTGTTAAATACAGTTTTGAAAAGGCTGAAACAATTGGAAGATTCTCTTCTCTTCTGCTGTGAAATCCATTAAATTGAGTGAAAAGGTCCTTCCAAAAAGTAATTTCTCTCAGAGACCCAACCAACACAATTGTTTAGCTTCATCCTTCATACAAAGTCGTCTTTAAAATGTGTTTTGACAATACCAGAAATACACGTGCATTTCCAGTTGCAAGCTTTGAGTTTTTTGCAGGCACAGAATGAAAGGAAAATAATATCCACGCTTTGTGAGAACAAATACTATACAAGCAAAAAATCTTTCTTTGAATTCTGCCAGGTTACTGAAATGCTAAACAAAAGCTTTAAAATACTTTAAAAGACATTATGGCAATGTGTTTTTCTGTGACAAAACTTGACAGATACGGCTCCCTCTGATTAGAAAGAATAGTTTCTCTAAAATGCCTGTGGGGCCAAGTTCAGTCAGCCTTCCAGTTATCCGGCACCAAATACCTAATAGTTTTCTATTTACTTCCAGACTAGTTATGAATCAAGATACTGTGTAACAGGAATAGAGATTTCGGTATCTCAGAGTTTGCCAGAAAAATAAGTGAAACTTCTCAGAATAAAGTACAAGCAGCAGCATGCAAACTGACAATCCTTATTCACCAAGAAACATGATAACTACACACGAAACAAGGATAGATCTGTAAGAGACCATACAGCATAGAATTACTAAGGGTTTCTTTTTAAAAGAACAAACACATAAACACCTTTTTGGGAATTGCTCTTATTTCCAGACACCAGGTTAAAATGAATTTCAGAGTGCTTCTTTCAGGGATGTGTTGTGGATGAGTTGCTCCTAGTTCAGAGGGAGAAAAAAACAAAACAAAACATGCATTCATTAACATCCAAAAATGGCATCACGGAGTGCTTGTTCTTTCAGGAAATACAAGAGAGCTAAACTGGATCCAATTCTATATGTTTGAGCCCCCTCTGGTTAGTGGAAATTATAAACTAAACAGCAAGACAGTTTTCCAGTGAAGTATCAATGACAATTTTCCACAGAATACTTGAAACATCAGGAAAGTGGGAAACAAAAAGACAGGTATAATACATGAGTGTTCAAATAAATTTCATTGCTAAACCACTCAAGGCTTTGTTGCCACTTTCCACCTTGAAGAATTACAGAGGAATGCTTACCAGGAAAAGAAACATCCACATTCTTCCTCCCTCCATCAATAAGCACTCCTGAAAATCAGAATGTGTCAAAGCTTTCTAATGATCTAACCAAAGGTGTATGCAGCCAGTGCCAAGCTGGAGCTTCTGAGGCCCACCAGATCCAAGGGGTTTCTGTACAAAGCAAATAATCCCTCCTGTAGTCTCTACAGGTTCCATTTCTGCGAAGGAGGTACACTGACATCCCACCTATCCCTTTATGGAGTCAGCTAGGGTGCAGCCAGGCTTATCAGTCTTACGCCATGTCATGCGTAAGTGGCTATTCTAAGTTAACCCCAAAAGCAATATAATAGCATTTATGTGACAAACCACCTTTAATTAATAATCTCTGCAGCTCCCAAATTGTTTCCTTACAGACCCAACTTGCATGTTGAGATTTCTCTTGACAATGTTTCTTGGCTTTGACATCTAGCTACTGATTCTTACTATGTTTTTTTCCATGCTCAAGAGCCCTTTAGTACTACAGAATTTTCACTCCAAGAATATACCTACATAACTTACTAAATTACTTCTTCATACCAACATTACTTGACTGAATCCTTGCTATAAAGACGAAAGTTTAATTTTAGAAGATAAGAGGATTGGCATAAATATAATGCAGGAAAGAAGCATTCATTTTCACATTTATATAAACTCCCTTTTCTTGAATACGCTGACAGCATGTTACAAGAAGTACTTAATCCTCCTCTTAAGATGCTCATCTGTACAATAAAAAAAAAACCTACAGAAAATCCAGTATTTGAACAATAGACTTTGCACCAGACTGCAAATATTTTCTTTTTTTGTCCTCTCAATTGATCTCATCTACTTCATCAAAGACTTCATAGACTGAACAAAGAGAGATTGTAAACAAAATTCAGTGGAATTCCTGGTAAATCTTGAAGATGCAGCCCAGGCACAACCTGCTCTTCATGCTCTTTTCTTCTCCCAGGTTTTTCATATCTCTTCATTCAGTAAACTCACAACCATAATAGTTTGTAGTAACTATTACAAATTCCTCAGAAATGTGAGTGCAGTTAAGAGACAACCATCTCAAAAGGAAAACAACTCTGGAACATTGCTAGGAATTGCAAAGCTGCACTATAGAGCTGAATTCTTTGGTACAGATTGCCAATAACATGTAATTTAACTAAATGAGTCTCTGCTCACCAGCACAGATCCAGAGAAATTAATTTGGGTTTGATTCTAAACCACTTAACTTCATACCTGAAGTGGATGGAAGTCAGTGTACAAGCTGTGATTGGACATCGGTGGATCAGCAGCAACTTGCTAGGTCCTGACCGAGTATCCAAGGCAAATGTAAAAAATCAGCATGACTTGCTCTGCATCACTCGGAAGACTCCAGAGCAAAACCAGGAACTTTGATTCCCTGTGCTGCAATCCAGTGCTATCATCTTCCTTTCCATTATCATTCATTAAGATTCACAAACAGACGTGCCATTTTATATACAAGATATGGTAAAATGTTACATAAATAACACATTATTTTACAGTTTTTCCCTGATTAGTGCTACATTAGGCAGCCAGAGATGCAATAACCTGGATTATTTACACATAGGATGAGAGCACCGATATTGCAAGTTTCACTCCACTATTTTACCAACTTTGCCTTGGAAGGATGGTTTTGTTGGTATACAAGAACAATCAAAGGGCTAAGCTATGTTCACTTGGCTATATAGGCTCTGTTCCACATTGAAAGTGCTCTGACACTGATGAACTCAAAGTGCCCTGTTAGGGCAGCTTTACATTATTCCTGCAACATCAGTATAACAGAATAAAGGGAACTACTGTAGGCAGGAAGGACAGAATATCTCTCTGTGCCTATTCAAGGAGACCTTCACTTTGAACATGCTGTTGACATTATCTTTAACTCAGAGATTCAAATTTTATGCAGCCAGGTAGCAGGGCTGATTTGCACAGAAAAACCTACTAGCCCTCAGGAGAGACAAAATTTCAAGCCCACTTTCCTATGAAAATCTGATGGTTTTGGCCCTCCATTACCTCCTCCTTTGCTATACCCCTCCCTTTTAACTGCTTCCTTTGAAAACGTGCTTGATTCTGCAAAATCTGTAAATACTGTAAACAGTAGAAGTAGTGTGTCTGTGAAATCCCTCGACACACCACCCAATCCCTTGTTGTTTGCCTGTGCATGGTAGTTGGGCCCTGCATGGGGTGACATTGTCTTGAGCTTGAGGGTGCTGAGGACCAGTCCTGATCCGAAGGGAGATTGTTAAAAAGCTGAGACCCTGCTTGGGACCTTTTCTGGGGTTTGGTTTTTGTTTTTTTGGTTTTTTTTTTTGAAGAAGCAGGTGTGAAGTGGTGCAGGGGGGAGGGTGTTCAGTACAGTGGGGCTGGGTAACAGCCAGACCAGCCCTGCAGATGCAGGGCTCATCTGAAGTGCAGGGACCAGGCTGTAACTGATACTGGCTCTACTCCAGATCTGCCAGTGACCTCTCCCAGCAGAGGTTAGTTACTGGAGTCGGGGTCAAGGATGGGGATCAGCTGGGCCTGGACATTCCATATGATGTTACAACATGGCCTGTCATGTAAACTCACCTCATTAACAAGTGAGTTACTCGCCAGTTCCAAGAACATGTGTCCATTTACACCTCATACTTAAGGGACAACTTGTGTTGCCGTCAATGATGCAGGGAATCTCGCCATGGGAACTGATTTACCCAGAGACTGGAACAACAAAGAGACCTACCCCATCCTGCAGAACTAAAGGCAAAACTCAGCAGCACCATTAAGACACCAATCGCAAGGCAAGAGAAGAGTAATCCTCACAGGTCCAGGGACATACCTTGAACCTTTCTGAGGTGTGGGATCGTAAGACTCAGCAGAACGCATCCACATAGACCTACAAGCCCCTTAAAAGGCACCTTGCAGCAGCACTAAGTCTTCTGCTTCAGGACTGTGGCCCTCTTAGGATGTAAAACAAATTGATGTGAAGTGCTGTGCAAGGATAGATTTTACTTTCAAGTGGGGGATTGTTAGGTTATGTGATTAAAGATTCATCTCCATAAACATGAAGGAGCACAGAGGAAGAATGAAATGGATGAATACCAATGCCAGGCTCAAGTTCCCAGTCAGAAACTAACTCATCTATAGTAAAGCCAGCAGGAGCATTCTATTTTTCTCTTCTCTTTTTTAACACATCTCTGTGGCTTTCAACATGCCTTCATGAAATGACAGCTGTGTTCCAATACTAAAGACAAAAACATTCAAAAGTATGCATACCAACCCCTACCAACACAGAAAGGAGTATTTGTTCATGACGAGTGCATCCAACATACCTTTCTTTTTAGTGCCCTGCTTAACCTTTATGCAAACGAAATACTCTCCTTTTTCAGAAAGTCCCAAGATTTGAAGAAGTTCTTCCACCTCATTGACATTGTTGGGACATACTACACAGAAGGCATCTCCAGGTTGATAGTCAAAGACTGTATCCTGTTTTAAAATATGAGATAATTTCTATTAAATTTTATCATAAACCAAGGCCAACAGCATCCCCATTCCTAACAGCAGCAATCTGCCTACTGTAACAGTCACATGAAGTCATATGTTCTTTTACTTTGTATTAGCATTTCACTGTTTGGACCAGATCAAAACCTAAATACTCATGTTTTCTTTTCAGGTTTAACCTCACTAATTAGAAAAATCTTTCCTTATCTGGTTTAAATATTTCGACACTCTTTAATAAGAAACTGCCGAGCAGCCTAAACAGAAGGAAAATAAATATGTATTAAGAGGATGCGTTATATAATCAGTCCAGATCATTAATTACCGATGTACTTTGTTTTCTGGTTTGAGAAGAGCAGAGAAATTAAGCCCTCATAATTGGTGCAACTTTGTATAGAGATACATTATCACTAAAATAAAACTTGCTGGTTAAACTATTTGATGAACTGTGACCGAAATGACCCCAACTGTTTTTATTTTCTGGAGGCAAAAAAGAAAAACAGCAAGGGAAAAGCACAGCGAAAATTAAAAGGTGTCTCAGATCTTAAGACCCAGATTCTCCTCAGTTGGCAGAGCTTCTTGTGCCCAACTGCTAAAACCCTGCTCAAGCTTCTACCTGTTATAGAAACACACAAAATTATACTTGTGTTATTGTTTCTCTTATGCATCAGGTGAGGTGACCTGTATACACAGGCTGTTGAGAATGTGAGGAAAAAAAGGCACAAAATGTTCACATTTTCAGTGTGTGGTGATGATTTGATACATGTATACATACAAATATATGCAAAAAATCATGTCATCTCAGAGACTCACTTGCTTAGAACTTTAAACAGACTCTATTTATAACTGAGATTTAAAGATGTCCCATGGAAATTAACACAGATTAGGCTAATAGAGTCCAATAGAAGTTAGTGCCAAAATCACAATATCCCTAAGGCATAATTCTACAAATTTGGAAAACCACTCCAAAGCAACATATCTTCCTTTTAAAGATTTCTTGTAAAGTAATATCGAACACTCTCTGCCTTTCATCTTCGTAACAGCATACAAAATATGATCTTCCCTGAATAAATTAAACCAGTTTTTACATCTTGGGTAACAGAGGCTGACAGTTTGAGTATTATATTAGTAAGTCAGACCAAATGAATGCCAGAGGCAGAAACAGTGCTCGAGTGATAATGATTCTTATCACTTGATTATACTAGTCAAATTATTACTTGTGTAGATTACCTACCACAAGGAATAGTCACAATTTACTATACAGTTTCTGAGTATTTCCTAAGTTGTATACTTACAAACGGAAAGATTATTAATTTTCAATATTCCCTGCCTGCCCATCTCCACTGTAAATTCCCTTCAAAAAGGTATTTCAGTCAATATAATATCCACGGAAAACAAAGAAATTGATTTGACACTTTATTTCTGTTTTGGTTTCCACAGAGTCATACCTTTCAGTGAACAAATCAAGCTTTGCATTTACAAAATGGATCAGACTAAGCTGACATCCTGTTGTATAGGGAATTATTTTTTCTTTTTAAACAGTCAAATAAGTAATTTTCACCCCAGTTATTACATATAACACACATTCATTTCACCCTTTATTCTAACCCACTAAAGAAAAGGCCATCACTAACTTACTGCAATATCAAGTTCTAAGAGCAATGCAGTTTTTATTGCATCTTCTCTAGTGAGTTGAACTGCTTTTGTAACTGGCACTTCAAAGGTTGTTCCCTCTGAAATCAGTGAGGACAGATGTGGATTCTGAAAAAGAGGACACAAAAACTTACACTAAAAATGCAAATCAGCTGAATGACAGCTTACTATGACATACAGGAATTAGTGTTGGTTCAATTTTTTGAAACAATCTTAGGAAACAATTCAAAACAATGAGGAAAAACATGAACTTTCTATATACATACAGTGTTTTGCTCCACATTTTTAAAAATCACATCCAAGCCGTAACAGGCGTATATTCAACTATAAAAAGTAAGTAGGCTTGAACAGTCTAATCGGCCTAAACTACTAACAAATGCAGTTAACTGCTTCCTTTTTCAAAAGCTGCCTTGAAAATAGCCAATTAGAGAATAGCATTTATGTTAAAACCCAAAAAACTCCCACCTAATTAAAGGATTACTAGGTACACAGAACAGACATAAGAAGTAAGAACAGAAGCTATTTAAAAACGTCATTGCAGATTTACAGATCAAGACTCTGGGGTGCAGATTGGGCTATTATTACAGGCAACTTATAAGAGGAATTTCAAAAACTACAGTTAAATTTAGAGCTAACCTGGAAACTCCACACTACAAAACAGCATCGTGCCGCAGCTTTTCCACACAGGTGAAGAATTGTTAATGGGCACCAAGAATAATTCTAGACCACCTCTGTCAAAGGCTATCACTTGAAGATCAGATTACAGCCCTCATTTCTCCATCACTATTGTCAGCAAGCTTCATTTGAGATCCATACAGACAAAAATGAAAAGAGGTGGGAGAGATAATAAATGTCCATAACAATACTCTGTTAAATGGAGAGGAATTATTCTACCCGTAAGAGAATATTGGTTAATCTGAAAATTTCCTATTTTAAAAAAAAGGAGACAAGAGAATCACTTGAGACCAACAGTTGGAGGTTTTGTTATTCTCAACAAATTTGACATGGTGAATAACAGCTTGGGCCATATCGTTATTGTGCATCAGCTGGACTGTGATAACTGTCTACATTCATATTCCCTCCAAGTCAAGTTCAAGGCATAATGAGATCAAGATTTAAGCTAAGTTGTATTATCTTACACTTGCCACAAAGGCTTAAGATGCAGACTGTTACTGCTCTGCTACTAACAAGCAGCAGCTTGTTAATTCAACCCTGAGAATCAACAGCTCAGGACACTGATCATAAAAGCAACTAGAGATCATGTACCCAGCCTTCTTTAAACGGCAGGGAGTCTCTTTTTGGCAATACCCAAACCTCAAATTGATGCATTTCAAAACAAGCCAACTTCGGATGTGCTTGGCAAAAAACACCCATGGTTGTTGCAATGTGAGATACTGGAAAAGGACATGAATTGTAAGGTCATGTTTGCTTTTACAAGTACTGCACATGGGAACTCTCTGTTGACAAGGTCTAGCCAACTATGTCAAAAATAGTACCAAAGGAAAAAAAAAACCAAACAAACCTGTATTTGATTCTTTCCAAGGCTCAAGACAACCACCCAGCTTTATACCTGAAATGTGGACTACAATCTGTGACCTGTCACTATATCCCAGACAAGCAGATTCAGCTTTTTCAATTTGCTGTCCAAAAGCAAAATTTACTTTTTTTCTATTTACAGAAAAGTTAAGGCATCAATATTAGAACCTGATCAATTATTTTAGAGATCAGTTTGAATATATGCTATGACTTTAAAACAAGAAAATGGGCTCTTTTAACCACTGTAGCAACACCTTCAACCCAAGTACTAGTCTTTAACCGAAGAGTACCTCTAAATCATAAATCTTTTTTTCAGTAATTTGGATTACTTAACTCAACAACCTGAGCAAAACCAACCACAATATGAGGTTTAAAAGAAAAGCAAAATTATCCAGTGTTTAAATTCATACACTCTTACATAATTATATTAGTCAGACTAAGTGATTCTCTCAGGATTACCACTGACACCCTCAAGAGTGCCAGGGGCCTGAAGATACTAATGGGCTTTCATGGTCCTGACCAGCCTCATCAGAGGACTGCACCTCCACCTCTGCTCATGGGCCCAGGAGCCTCAGCTCAGCCCTGGGCCTTCAGTTCCTGCCTGAGCCACATCATAGGAGTACTGCTCTGCAGCTCAGCCACAACCATGCTCATGGCTGGCCACAGATCCTATTGATCCAAGTAAGGATCTGCACACCAACTTCCTGGCCTGATGATCTGCACTCTTGGCTGATCCTGACTGCCATCTCCTGGTTTGCATCGCTTGGCTATCAGGGAATGGGGCTGGCTGTGTTACCACACTCAGCTCCTGGCTCCCTGTCCCTTAAAGGGCAGCCAGCCCTCACTGCTCCCTCACAGAGATGACCAAAACGTCTGCCCTTTGTCAGGCAACCAGAGAAGTTTAAGGCATGCTTTCCAGTTCATTTTGAACACTAAATATGCTAACTGGAGCTGATCACCAGCTCATGCTAATTCTTCTCTTTGTACAGCAGGTCTTTGTTCAACATGGCTTCATAGGAAAAGCGCAGTGGCTTTTGACCTACAGTTCATCTTCCATTTCCAAAAGTAAAATTATGATCATGTTTTTACCATGACAAGTTTATCTGTTATTAAATCTGCAGCAAGACTTTCAGCAATTTTACACCCTCTTAAGGCATTCTGCAAGTACTAAAAATTTGAACAGAAATTGTACTATGCTCCTTTCTACAGGAAAATGTTTTCACCATCCTTACATAAGCCACTGAGGATTTTAATTCTTCCATTCCTGGCACTGCAATGCCAAATTATAATTTAGCTAAATTATACTTTAACATAAGTGCCCATAACTCCTATGGAGGTAACTACATTTTCACAATCTAAATGGACCTTTCACTTACAATTCAGAAACCTCCTGCGTTCAGGGACGTATCTCCTTTATGTAAGTATCCAGTTGCTCTTTTGAGCCGTATGTAGGAGTATACACTCATGCTCCTAACAGAGCTGGAGGCTTCCATCATCCAAAGTGAAGTCCTTACCTCACCATGGGTGTCCTGAAATTGCACCTCTATATATTCTGGTGGCAAGGCAGGAATATTAAGAGCAGACTGAGAGACAGGAGGCACAGAATGAACAAGTGAAGGTTCAGTGTCTCTAGTTGAAGCCACAAGATTTATGTCAACCAATTTCTGTGACAGAACAGCAGAACTCCTCACTCCCTCATCTTCTAGTTTCAAGTTCTGTACTTCTGAGCTTAAGTTCAGTTCATGCATAACGTGTGGGGCTGCGGAGAGAGAGCTAGAAATAGCATTGCTGCTCATGCCTTCTTTTTCTTTCTGCAACAGAAATGCTTCCTTGAGGGCAAGCCAAAGTCCATCAATCCAAGGATCAACGACTAGTTCCAAACTGGGAAAGGAGAGGGGGGGGGGAAGGAAAAATAAATAGATGAATTATTGTGACTTACTAGTCCGTTAATTTACAAGTAATGAAAAGATGACAAAAGCTAACAATACTATTAATTTTCTGTTTTTATATATATCTGCAGCTGTTACCAAGACAACTTTTTTGTTAAAAAAATAGTTTCATTTAGTTATTACCACTATGCAAATTTATGGAGCCTAAAGTGTGTAACAGCCTTGCTCTTCTTCCAGTTTCTCACTTTTATTTTCTTACACTGAACTTTATGACAGGAAGTTGAAGGGATGGTTGCAAAATATGCAACTTTTCATTCTGCAACAGCAACATCAATAGCTTACACTAATGTTCCATTTTTATTATTTTAGAACACAAGATATAAGTTTTATGGTTATGGCAATGTTTGTGTCCAACTGTCTCGTATCATCATGCACAGAACAGATATAATCTGCAGTTCAAAATAAGTAAGCCAAGACTGCAGCCTACTGGCCAGAAAGAGCAACAGAACAGGAAGGGAGTTGTTTTCTTACATAATTCCTCTACAGCAATCAAAAAAACCTTCTTACATAATTCCTCTACAGTGATCAAAGACAAGAAATTCATTTTTTATGGAAGAGAATAAAAAATAAAAATCAATACAGGGTTTGTTTAAAGCAGCTCAACGGCAAGATGTGAGCTTGGATAGAAGTCTGGTGCGTATGTAGAAAGAGATCCCATTACCCAGTACTGCATATACTGGGAATTGGCTTTATTTTTATCTGCTTCAGTAAACAGTCTACCTTTAATGTAATCTACACTACCCCTCCACTTATTCTGAACTACTTAATTTCTAAAACTGCTAAATATCCTCCATTTTTCCAGGCATTACAGATGTTTGCTCACACTTTAACAATGGAGTTTAATGGTAATTGAGATTGAAAAGACATACTTTGTTCATGTGTTCAGACAGGACCCATTCCTGTGAGGTGCTGAGTATTCAGGTTCAACTGATTTCAAAGAGTTCAGAATGTTTTGCCAAATTCACATTTAACCATTGTTTCTTGAAGAACGTAAATCCAAACTCGTTCAGCTCTTACCCTACACAATCATCTGCTAATCCTGTGTTGTAGAAGTGCTGGGCACCAAGTTCTTGAAGGCGTTGGTCTACTGTCTTTCCACCATTACAAAAGAACGTGTACTCTGAATCTCCCAGACCTGGCAAATTCAAGGAAAGAGGAATCATGTCAATCAGCCAGCCATCCAGGCTACACAGACAAAGATCTGCAAAGACAACACAGGATTTTCTTGCAGGAAACAGAAGAATCTAATATAGCAAAGTGCATATTACCAGGAAACTTTTATGACCTTAAAAAAATTGTGTTTGTCCCAAAGTAGAACTGAGAAAGTCCTTCCTCCTTCACAAATGTAAGACACAGAATGTCTCTGAAAGCACTTTGCTTTCAGTATTTCACGTTTCAGAAGAATATTGCTTTAGTTTGAGGCTTTTAAAAAACACAAAACCACTGTTGGAGGAAAAATGTAAGGAACTGAAATGAATAGAAAAAGAGTGAAACTGATAAACTGTATGTGAATTAACAAAAGAAATTATCTCACCTTCAGGTTAAAATTGTTAATATATGTCAAGAACATAAGGGAGAGAGTATTAAAAGTAATTTAAAAATACTGGAACCTTGGAAAAAAAAACAAAACACAGAAGTGATTTTAAACAATCTGAATGAAGAAATGTAGGAAAAAGTACATAAGGGAACCTGGTCCAACACCCTCCTCCCCAGGAATCAATGATTACTTTGCAGATCTCATTTTCACTGCACTGGGTTTTCTGCCCTTTAACAGTTGTAAAGATGCTCTGTTAGAAGCTGCTGCTCTTTGTTATCAGTTACAAAGTCAGTGGACTCAAGCGGTATGTTTGTGGAGGTCCTGAGATTTTAAGAGATCAACTAAACCAATGACCCAACCTAAAAGTGATCAACCACACATACCTCATCCTTAACAGATGCTTACCTAACAACCCCAAAGACCACTGGCTAGGTAGTCTTCACAAATTCTGTAGGTAATCCACACCACTGTTTCACTATCTTAACTACCACAATTTTTCACAGCCTGACCCTTTCTTGTGTGCAATTTCAAACCACTATATCCCTATTTTCCCCACCTAAAAATGGACTATTCCTTTCTCTTTTTTAACAGCTTTTTTTTTTTTTTTTTTTTTTTAAAGACTACTGCTGTCTCTCAGGTATGGTACCTAGAGTGAACACTTCTTTGGACAAGCTGAAATGTATACCATGAACATATTTTAAGATTGGTAACTTTTCAGACTAGAATCATAAACCATGTTATAATTTAGTTACTACAACTGTAACGTATAAGTAGGCAATAGCATAACATCATCTCAAAACATTACATGATTAGGATGCATATATTTCAGACTCCACACTATATATCCACTAGAAATTTCCTTCTAGTGGCTACTTTCTTCACTAGAAATTTAGAAGTTTCCAACTCCTATGAACTTGTCAGGCAAAAATAACCTAAGTTCAAACAGAAGTTTCTGGAGTTTGTTTAAACACAACCTGAAAACTCAACAAACTGATTTTATCATCAGATCAAGATATGTCAGATGTATTTTGCCAAATCTGTATTTTGCATATCAATCTGTAACCTGAAGTTACACTCCTTCTATTGACAAGTACGACATTCAAAATTTAAGAAGTTACTGCAAATTTAAAGGGATGGGATGATCTTAAACCCTTATTTTTTAACAACATTTTATACTGCCTTTCCCTCTGTATAGAAAAATGTCCAATTACTTGCAAAGTCAAGTAAATTCATCTAGTCCATAGGGACTTGACATGAAATTAAAACTTCAACAATTATAGATAGCTTATATCATATTTTGTTTATGCAAAGAAAACTAAACTATAAAAAAAATAAATTGGTAGCTGTGACATTTTTCCTTTATTGCTTATAAAGGACATTACACACAAAAAATGGTTCTTGTTACAGAAATAAATGTTTTATAAGCACTTTAAAAAAAACCCCAAATGACCTATTCACAAGTGAAAAATATAAAAATTATTCACTGACAGACAAGTGCTGCAATAATATGGAAATACTAAATCACCTAGCAATCCATAGTGGAGATGTGCGAAATGATCAGGTGGCAAAGTCGTGTCTTGAATTTTCTTTACAAACTTGCGGGCAGTGTCTGGTGGGTCTCCGGTACCGGTAGTGGAAATAACAATAACTACAGGATCCTTTTCTGTTTCCAGGTTATACTACAAACAATAGAGCAAGTAAGTTACAAAGTGTCATTTGATACCTCTTTGCGGCCTTAGATAGTATCTTCCCAAAGGTGCACAGAAAAATGTTTAATCTCATTTTACCTGTATTAAACCACAGAAAGTCTTTCAAGTAGTTACAAGTCATTTTGGGGATGCAACTTATAATCTTGGTTGGAGTTTTCAAGACCAGACTGGGTAAAGCCCTGAGGAACCTGCTGTGACCTCAGCTGACCCTGCTGTGAGATGACCTCATGAAGTCCCTTCCAACCTGAATTACCCTATGATCCCATACACAAACGCCGAAGGTCAGCATCTTGAGCAGGCTCGTACGCATGCAAAGATGACTTCACAGCTGCACTCTATTTGCTTTGTCAAGCAGAAAAAGAATTTTTGTATATACGATCACAATCACGCAGGCATAATCCTGATAACTTCACACAGATAACTGGGGTGTGGTCGTACAAATTGTGGGTGTCGTTTCTAAGTTCCATTAGGTATTATTTGGTTCTTTCTGATAACTTCCATGTTACATCTGTCTTTGCCACAAAAAACCCCCCTCTGTGCTTTGGGGGAGCTAAGGTAGCTCTGAACAGAGAAAATCAGTCACCGTGCTCTACGGTCTGATTCAGCGGGCCCCTTCCCCAAATTCATTTATCTCCCCTTTGCTAATACCGATCTTTCACATTGCCCATGGTTTTATGGGAGCTACTCCCATTATACCATATCAACAAGAACTGCCTATATTTGTGATTGTGCATCAGTTCCATAAAATCAGGTCTCACACAACTGTTTTTTACTTCTCAAGTAAAAAGCATTGTTTCTTTGATTATTGCAGCTTTCCAATGATAGCGGGCTGCAGCACTGTGATAGCGTGCCGTCTGTCAGGTCACCTGCACAACGTGCTCTTTCGCAGCACCCCTAGGACGTACGGGTTTTGAATCACACGGACAGCTTGTGATAGTGACCTACTCGAACAACAGCTCCACAGAATCACAGACACCTTGTTTGGGAGTAACCACTTGAGGTCACCTAGTCCCACCCCATCCCCCAAGTGGGACTAACTGCCAATGCTGCATTAGGTCAGCTATGATTTTAGCTGAATTTTGAAAACTTGTAAGGGTAGAGATTCCAGTTTTTTCAGCACCCTCTTCCATGCAGAACTTCTTCCATTAGTGTCAAATCTGAGTTTATCAGGCTGTACTCAGTAGAATTTGCTACCTGTTGTAGAGTCTTCTGCTGCCAAGAAGAGTCTAGCTCAAGTAGGTTGTTATTAGGTCACTCCTGCCCCCCTCCTTGACACAGTAAGCAACCTGAGCTCCTTTTACTGCTCCCCATATGTTTCAGTTTAAACTCTCTCCCAGCATTCCAAATTTAGTAAAATAGTAGGGTTATGAGAAAATATAAATAAAGATTGCAAGAGCTACTATGTTTCATTTCAAGCAGTTTCAGGACTGCAATTCAAAACTTCAGAGTTTGAGGAGTTATCTTCTAAACACTTCACTCAATAAATCACTCAAACCTTATCCCTCCCTCAAGGCATATAAAATGTTACCCCTTACATCTACAATTCAGAACGGAACACAAAGAAAGAGTATCAAGGGGTTTTGCTGTTGTCATTTTTACCAAAACCTGCCTGAAGAACCTAAAAACAGCTGCATAGAGCAACTTAAATTACCACCTGGAACAGTGTCCTGCCTCTGACAGTGGCCAACAGCAGCTGTCTAGAGAAGCGTAAGAGAAGAGAGTAAGCATACAAGGATATTCCCCAAGTACTTTGCCAGACTTCAGTGAGTCATCGTCCAGGGACGTTCCAAATAGAGGTTTTGTCTTTTACAAGTTCAGGTGAACTCCAAGTACCCATGAATTCCCAAGACTTCCAAAACTGAACTATTAAGTTGTGTAAAAAAAGGCCTTAAGGGTCCTGTTGCAGTTACCCAGATTTCTAAAGCTTCAACAGCTGATTTTGTAAGTACAAATACAAGAGCTTCTGCAATGCACTGTCACAGATGACTACTGCTTTCACAAACAAAAGCAAACTCTCAGGTACAAAATGCAAAGGTCTACCGGTATCACATAAAAATTTACACTAAATTATGTTCCATTATTGAAAAAAAAAATGATACAAGCTTAGAAAGTAAAAGGGGGTACATTACAACAGAAGTATGATTAGTTCACTAAATTCTTGCTTGCTCCACTGCATATTCCCCTCTGCAAACTTAACGACTTGTGGAAGCAAAACAATTGTAGACAGACTCCTTAAGAAGAAAAGTCACGGCCATCTGGCCTCTGGAAGGACAGAAGTTCCACGCTGATTTGCGTCAATTATCAGGAAGTCTGATGTATCACTAAACCAACAAGAACCTTACACAATTACACAGTTTTTTCACTCTGCCTTCCACTTCCTATATCCTTGGTCTTACATCTTTGTCCCATTCTTTCTCTTGCCTTCAGAAGTACTCCTCAGCTGAGGACAGCAACGGCACAAAACAGCTGCTCAAGCTGTGAAAAACTGCTGAGGGAAAAGGACAGGATCAGGCATCCTGATGATGTCTTACCCAGAATAATACATATCGTGCTTGTTCAGGTAACTCATCCAAGGCTGACTACATGCACCATGACTCAAGGTGATCTCCATTTAGCCTCCTATTTTACTGCTCCTCCCTCACTTCCACTTTATTTCAGTCTTACATCAAGCATAAAAAGCAATCACAGTAACCAACCAAAGATTTATGACCTTTTCTCACCTATGGGAGTGTACGTGAGAGACACTACTTGGTAACAGTGTTTCCGAGACTTGAGCAGTGTATGATCGTTCATTCTTGTATGACGACAGGATCACATTACGACTATTGGCTCTGTAGCCACCTATTCCATCCACAGACCTTCAGAGCAATCCCTTTAAGTGATGACAAGGCCTGAGAAATACCCAAAAGCTGTATGAAGACAGGCCTTCTAACTGACAAATATGGACAAAACAGACACCTCTTACTTCCTCACTTAAGACATACACACACCTCTCTGAATCGTACAGGTTGTGGAATAAACTCTTAGATCTAACATGCCCAAAGGACTTCAGAAGAGGCCCTACCAAATTCAAGCAAGCTCTTTCCTCCAGTACTGCCTTCCTCCCCAATTACACTTAATCTTCTAGAAGTTCTCTTTATTTACAAGGTAGGGAAAAACTTAAGTGGTGAAATCTAAAAAGCTGCAGAAATTACTTTTCTCCTCAGTGCCCAATTCTCAGATTCTCAATTCAGTACATCTTTCTACCTCATCAACAATGTGCAGCTCTGAGTTGTCTTGCCAAATTTGACAAAATAGATTTATTCCAGTGGCAGGCCAATAACAGGGCTAGAGATATACTGCCTTCCTGAAACTAATCTCCAAACCTGTCAAATGCAAAAGAAATTAAATGGAGGAATATAAGGACAAACTTCACATTCACTGCTGGCTGCATAAAAGTCTCTTTGTAACACTTTGCTACATATTCAGTGAACATTCATTCAAAAGCGATGACCAGCTACTCAACATGTACTGTATTCCCAAGAAAGCAACCTGCTAGAAGGGAACCAAATTATTTTTATAAACTTCTCACATTTTCAAGTGCATCAAAGAAAACTCTTTTAGGTGTTACTTTCTACCCATCTCATATGAAATATCAGGCTATCAAGTTTTGTTTATTTGTTTTTTAATATCTTTTTGTTTGAGGACATACAGCTGAAAGTACTTTGTGAAGGAAATTACAGTTCACATTGCCTTTAGCTACAGAAAGACATTAACAGTTCTCAGATCCTTACCCTTGGATAACAACAAATAATAAAAAGCCATTTCCTTGCTCCAGCCAAGCTTTTTATTTGTTTCTAGAATATATCTTGAGTGTATTCAGTGCGAACTGCAGTGAGTGCATATGCTATAACTCAAGAATACCCCACAAAAGCTCAGGGTCATGCTGGAGCCCACACTTAATAGAACACAGGACCTCAATGCTACACAAAAACAACAGGAAAAAAAAAGCATCATTTCTAAAAAAAGGAGAGCTGACCAGTAAATACAGAATTCATTCACTACTGCATACATAAATAGTTTTCAAGAAGTCACTGCACTGTTGTTAGAAGAGAGATCAAAGATATATTAATGTACTGTTCTAATAAGAAAAATCACAAGAAAGATGTACCTTTGGCAGAGGGCTATTAAGCGTCTGTGAGTATTGGTCCAAATTACTGATTCCTAAGAAACGAAAATTTTAAACTAGAGGATTTATTTTAGATGGGTGCATGTGCCCAGCCTTCACAATTATTAACAGTCACCACTCAAGCACATGAAGAAAACTGCAGCTCTTAAATACCTATTTTTCAAAACCACATGGAGTATCTCACCTTGTCCACTTCACTTATACAGTGCATATCAGCTTCAAGTCCATGGGCTCCTGCTTGCTCCCGTATTTCCTCAGCTATGGCTTTTGCCTGCCCCTTTTGTGTTGCATAGAGAAGCAAAAACCTCCTTTTTAAATCACAGCACATTTCCCAAAACAGAGCACTTTTTTTTTTAAAAGACACTGCAGGGGAAAAAAAGACAAAAAAAGAGTGAATTTATTGAATGCAGAACCGTAAGATTTTGTTTTGCTTATTAGATTAAAAAGAGATACTTTAAAGGATAGCAGTATTGGTGTTTAACTTGGAAATGAGTCATCTAGTCTGAAGAGAAGACATTTCTCACAACCAAGCTTTGTAGGCCAGGTTACAAAGGACTCATGGTATTGGTCATATGTGCTGTACTGCCTTGATATTGCAGTAAAATTGCAATATACCTGGTATCAAGAATCTAGTTTGCAAACAATACAATAGAGAAACTAGCTTCATGAAAATAAACACTTTCCATTACGTAAATTATATTTTCCATGTTAAATCAGTGACAGCTTTGGTCACTTTTCTGAGATGTATTCGAAAAGAAAACAAAACGTAGACCTGATGAATTCAAACTACAGTGCGTGAGAAAAAAAAAAAAAATTAGAATCCTCAGTTTCTTCTTTTCTGAAATCAGTGTTGTTTGCCTGAATGCCTTTACACTTTACTGTCCACCAGGTCTATATTTTAGAACATATTGTTTTTCATTTCATATTTCAAAAAGGAGCTTACACAAGTGCAACTACAGAATTGACCGTCTGGGGCTTTTTCTCTTAAAAATGAGAAACCATCTTAGAGAAACCTGCTGTACTGTAAAATGCCACGCCCTCGCAAAGCCTTGCAAGCAGTAGGATGAATGAGATGCATAACCTTATTCATTCACCTGTCCCATTTAAGTTTGAATGCGAGAAGTTTTCTTTCATGACTTTGACACAGACAGAACATAACAGATGTAAGGACAACTTCAAGAAGCGGTGACTAAGAGAGATGAGCAGAATGTCTCTGTGTGTATATTACAAATTAATCTTCTGTCAATGTTTTTACTGCAGCTAGGGAGCTGCAGTAGAACTCAAATACCTAGAATTACAACTGAGTAACTTTCAGTTCCCAGCTTGAGAATTTTTCCAAATGCCTGGGACCAGTTTATCATGCTTCACCTATTGCTCACACACAAATTCAACTACAGAAAGCATTCAATGTACTAGCCACGCATTGATTTACAGAAACCTGTGACTAAGTAATTTGAGGCATATCTTTTTCCTGTTTCTCTCAAGGGAAAACAAACATAGCTCAACTGCAGAAGAAGAATACTGCACTCTATTGATATGGCATGGTATTTCTCCCCACAGTATTGTGGAAGGTTTCTCCTATTAGAACATTTTTAAGGCATAATTGTCAATCAAAAGAGGTAAAACTAAGTGATACCTTCTTAAGCGTACAGTGCCTGTTACCACATGTGAATTCCATTAAAAATATAATTACTACAAAATTTTAAGGTTTTCATTGTATTTTGTTTTACTACATTTTCTGTTACAGTTTTCACTTTAAATTGATTACATTATATTACATAAAAATATTAATAATTACCTTAGGAGTCACTTTAAATAAACTAATTTAAATAACTGGCTTCACGTGCATGTGTACAGAAGATGCATATGCCAAAACAATCCACAGAATTATTTTTCACCCTCCTTTTCCAAAAGAAATACAAAGAAATTTGATGACACACAAATTATGACAATTCATATGAAATACAGTTTAAATACACTCAGATCCCTGTAGTAATACAGATTCATCCTAGTCACATGCTATGTTTTCAACTTAATTGTTCTCTTGTCAGCAGATGGCAATGCCTGACTATAAATGGAGAAAAACAATAAAGATGAAATGGCATTTCATGACTACGTTTTTTTCTCATATCTCAGAAAGGGGGAAAGATGATCATGTTTCCACTGGGACCATACCATAGCACAGAAGCCTTCTATACACAAAGAGCTGAGGCGTAAGCTGCCAACATAATAGCCAGGGGATTACCAACAGACTTCAAACAAAAGAGTCAGCTTGGGAAGATGGAGAAGAGTGTTATGGAAAAAGTTGGCAAGAAAACCCTCTAACACTTAGTTTGAAGTTTCAGAAGGCAGGCATTCTTTATTGCAGCGCTGGATGCACAGCGGATCGCTCCACCTAATGTGCATACCCCGAAACAAAAGTTCATCCTTTATATATCTTAAAGACATGAATATGCACACATTTCCTGAGAAATCTCCACCTCCCTGCCTATCTACTATATTTACATAATGCTGGCGTTGCAAAACTACACTACGCATGCGCAGGGGTGTCAGGTGGTCATTGGTGGTCATTTGGGGAGTTAGTCTCCTATTCCTTTTCCCCTTTTGTGGTCACGGGTCTCCTGAAGATAGATTCTTCTCCTTGGATGTTTGCCCCTTCTGTTGTACAGCCAAGTGATTCTTTCTTATCATCCTTGTTTGAGCACTCCTGCTAGGATGTGTCTGTTCTCAAGGTTAAGATATCTTCTCTTTAATGTACTCATTAATTTCTCTTAACTCTTCTTTGTTTTGATTTCGTGAGGCCTTTTGGTTCTACACGCATGCATTTCTAGCTGTAACGTTAGCACTGAGGCAAGTATAGCCTAAGAACTATGAGAGTAGGCTGTTACAAACATAACCACACAGTTATTAGGCTAAAGAAATCTGTACAAAGTTAAACTAATCACGTAATCAATAACCCTCCAGAAAGTACATAAATGTACCAAAAGAAGCATAAAAATTTGCAATAGCACGGGGAAAGGAGAGGGCAACAGAAAGGACAGCAGTCATGATGTGGTTTCACAGGGCTACATGTTGCCCTAACAGCACCGTGACCTCTGCCCACGCCAGGCAGAGCAGCCTCCCCGTAAGATACTGTGAGCCGCTTCTACTTCAGCTACTACAGGAACAATAATGGCTACAAAAAGTAGCTACCCACATCCTGGGTGCATGTATGTGAACTTGCGGGGAGCTTTCTCGCTGGTGTGTGGACTAGTAGATTGCATAGAGACAGAAGAGCTAGAGCAATCGCATCTCCCACAGAAGGTGTGCATAAACAAAACACCACCAGAAGAGGGGATTATGCTTGAGATGCGTATCTGCTGAGAGAGGGGACTGTGTGCATATGTAACAGTGCGCATGTGTGCTTGTGGGAAGCAGGGAGACCACAGACAAGTCTGTGGAATTAGATATAGAAGGCTGTTTAAATATTTGTAGGCATTTATTAACATTTTGTAAGTGCCTGGTATTGTATCTGTTGCGCTGCTGCTATTGATCCTGAATATATAGCTCAATTAACTGATTAAACAGTAGTTTAATTAACTGCCTTACAGTTAATTATGTCATTAACAGATCAATGAACTCCTCTGATTCTGATTCGATCTAAACTACAAGTTGAAGAGTTTCTCCCTGTAAAAGCATCTTCTCTCTGTCATCAACCAGAAGAGCTTCATGCACAAACTGACCAAGTGATGCCTGCTAAAAGAAAGGAAAATTAGTCATGCCTACCTGCAGATGAACACATTCATAAACTAGGAACACACTTGCACTCAGATGAACACACTGCCCACGTTGATCTTGCTTTGCTGCATTATACACTCTTCAAAGACCATATGCTACTTCCACTTATGTGATATGAGTTCAACTGAAATAAAGAGAAGAAAAATGGTAATTCTTGACCATCAAGCTTTCTAGAGAATCCCTCTAACTTTAATAGAGTTAGAGAGGTTTAACAGCAGCCTTTAACATGTTGATGAGTTGGTAGTCGCACGTCAAAAACCAAAACAATCTTTAAGCTGGGAAAACAACCCAGGATTTGCTGGCTTAAAGCAAGGCTTAACATAAAATTAAGCATGAAATTCCACATTATAGCTCTCCTCATCCAGTACTCAGAAAAGTCAGAAAACTAACAGTCCACACAAGATTAACAGAGTCCATCCGCTCCTTAAGTCAACACACCGTAGAAGCAAACAAGCCACCTATAAATGCCAGCAACGCAGTTTCACTGAACCAGACGTGCTGGCCCTAGCAATTACGCAGCGGTACTCTAAGGCTAGACTACCTACTTCATGTAGCTGGTCTGTCAAAAACGTCAAACTGTGTGGCCATGGACAGGACAAAAATGCAAGAAACTTCCGCAGTAGCTTTCATGCTTCTGCGTGGCTTTAAAACGGGTTGTGTGACCGTGCCTTCAGAGCCATGAAGCCATTCCCATGTCATTTTTTCAACAGTTTGTGACTTGCTCAGAATCACTTTCACTCTACGACCACAATGAATATAAAAACCATAAAAAATTCAATGAAAACAGCTTTTCACGGCCTAGGGTTGACTTTCCTGAAAAATTTGGCTGGACCCACCAACATCCCGCTAGGAAGTGGGAGAGCTGTCCCTGAAGAAGGCCTGCGATTTCAGGGAGCTAAAGCCAAGTCCACATGGGAGGCTTGAACCCCGCTGCAGCAACAGAAGCCTCCCAGAGGGCCGGCGCCGCCAGGCCGCGCCTCCCG